ATTAAAATACATAAATATAATATGTAAAGCATATTCAAATGACATATTACATTCCTAATTCTACGAGCCCATTCAAAAGGTGCACGACTGGACTAAGGCACAAGGTGTACCAGGCATGCACCTAGGACCTGAGCGAGGCACCTACCCTAAAATGTGCCTTGCCTGTGCGCCTAGGCGCGCCTTTTAAATCACTAGACAAGACCGGCCAAACCCAGGTCATTTTGGCCCATTTTACTAACTAAATATAAGTGTTGAATATTTCAACACTATAACAAAATTAATGCATGAATGTTCTAGAAACCAAGAAAGCGTTCTTGAATAAAGAAATAAGCATGAGAACATTCTAGCAATAAAATTAATAAACAAAGCACTTCTAGGAGGGGGGGAGGTTTGGAGCTGAGAAGGGAAATGGTTGTGGAGATTTGGGCAAGGGACAGAGAGGGAGGCTTTATGGAGGGTGGTGGTTGGAAAATATGGCGTGGTCAGATTTGGGTGGGAATCAAGGGAATCAAGAAGTTCTTATGGGGTGAGTGTTTGGAAAGGAACCATTAGATTCAATCAAGAGTTCAGAAGTCTAGTCAAGTTTAAAGTGGGGGATGGCTCTAGGGTGAGGGTTTAGGGAAGATGAGTGGCTTGGGATAGGGAAGCTAAGTGAGGTTTTCCCAAGATTATACAAGTTGACAAACCAACAAGTTTCAATAGACTAGTGTTATGAGTGGAGAGGGGAGCAACTGATCTGGAATCTGAAATTCATAAGGCCTTTTCTGGACCAAGAAGTGGAAGAGTGCATTATGCTTTTGGAAAAATTAGAAGGAACCAGAAATACTAGATCTACAAAAGATGGTTTATGGTGGAAAGAATGTAGGAGGTAGATTCACTGTTAAGTCATTCTACAAGGCACTAGTAAGAGAAGGAATGGGTTTAGACCAGATAAAAGGAGTGTGGGGTAACCTAGTCCCTCCAAGGGTAGAAGTCTAGGGGGTTGTTTCTGGCCAGCTGGTGTTATTTGTGTAATCAAGAGGAAGAAACAATCCTTCACTTGTTCTTCTCATGAAGTGTAGCAAGCTTCATTTGGAAGTTTTTCTCTTTATTTGGAATTAGTGTCTTCCAACCAATGCTTCGAACAGAGATCTTCTCGAAATGGCCAAATCTCAAAGGCAGCAAGAAAGCTAGGATTCTCTGGAGCTGTGTTCCTTTTGCAATTTCTTGGGCTAATTGGAAGGAGAGAAACAGAAGGGTTTTTGATAACAGGTAAAAAAGCATTGAATATCTGGTAGCTGCAGTGAGCAATCTGATTTCAGACTGGGTCCTTGAACTTCCAGATTTTGATCAAGTATCCAAAGCTGATTTGTTGGAAAGGTTTTGGAATACCCTTGATTTACAGCCTTGTAATGAAGAATCCTTTTCAATTCGTTTTCTAGTTTGTATTTGGTGTGTGAACTTGACAACCAATGGTGTTGAGATGTAATTCCTTTTTTTTTTCAATTTAATGAATTTTCTTCTTGATCCTTCAGAAAAAATAAAAAAATAAATGCAGATAAGCAAGGAAATAAACATGTGATTTAAATGACAAAAGGGTAAACATGGAAATGGCAATTAACAAGATGATTCTAGAAAAATCATTAATCACATGATTTAAATGTGTGAAAAGAAAATTCTAGAGTAAGAGGGTAAAATAGGAAAATGACAACTTAAGAAACTTTTGGAATGTGCACCCAAAAACTATAAATAGGTGCTTCCCATCCATTTTAACTGGCCTTGGAACCATCCTTGTCCCATCACCTTGATAATAGTCCATCCACTTCCTCTCTCTCCCATCTATATCAATCTTCTCCCATCTTCTTATGCATCCATCCTTCATTTTGTCCCACTTCTCACTGGAATTCCAGCTCTGGTGAACTACATCGGCGTAATCCCTCGTTGGAGGGTATGTAGGCAGCCCCTGGTGCGGCCACTTGCTTCTCTCTCATTTCTTCCCACTTCTGGTCTAGCCAATTCCTCAAACCTCAGGGTACAAACCACCTCACATTCGTGGCCTTACACTTGGATTATTGATGTTGGAGCTACTAACTATTTGACATACATGCCCTCCTTGTTTTCTTCTTATCACCTCATGTCCATCCAAGACAAAGTGAAAGTAGTTGATGGCTCTCTCTCCACCATTTTTGAAAAGGGGGAGGTAAACCTCAACAAAGATCTCTCCCTTAAGTCTATTCTTCGTGTGCCAAACTTTGCTTCATATTTGTTATTTGTTTCTAAGCTTACTAAGAATCTGAATTACAGTATAACCTTTTTTTCATACTCATTGTGTTTTTTAGGACAGATTAGTGAAGAGAACGATTGCAATATAACCTTTTTTTCCACATGAATTTATTTGCTTAAAAGTCGTGTTGAAGTACCACACAACCATGGTATTTTATAAAATGATTGAGACCCAGTTTAGGAAAAAGATTAAACGGTTTCATTTAGACAATACAGTTGAGTACTTCAAAAAATCTTTGAATGTGTTTATGGAGGATGTAGGTGTGTTGCATTAATCAACTTGTGCCAGTACTCCTCAACAAAATGGAGTTGTTGAACACAAGAAAAAACATTTATTGGAGACTACTCGAGCTCTACTATTTCAGCACCAGGTGTCCAAAGGTTATTGGTCTCAGGTAATTCTTATAGCCTCATACTTGATAAATCAGATGCCATTCAGGATGTGAGGTATGAAAACTCCCTATTCTGTCCTTTGTCCTAGTCAAAATGAGTTTTCTCTACCTCTTTAAAGTTTTTAGATGTGTCTTCTTCATTCATGTCAAGGATCCTAAAAGAACAAAGTTGGATCCAAGAGAAAGTATGTCACCAAGGATGTGGTATTCTTTGAGTCTCAATCATTTTTCAATCTCCTAAGAATCCTCTTTAGGGGGAAACTAGTAGGGTGGAAGAGGATTATTCATCTTCTCCTTCCTTTGTGTCTTTTCCCATTTGTAGTTCTAGTCTTTCACTTTCTTCCTTTGATCCTTCTAGTTCTAATTGTTTGGGTGAACTTGGTGTGACTCCTACTGATCCTACTACTACTACTACTACTACTGCTCTTGAAGCAGGAGGTGAGGCTGATGTTCGTGATAATAATTGTGATCGTAAGGAGGAGCTGAGAATCTTTTATAGGAAAAGGAAGAGGGATCCTCTGGCATATGACGACAACCAACCGAACTCCAATTAGTCTAATATAGTGGATCCATAATTCTTACTTTGATGCTCCTACACCTATTTTTGACATTGGATCTTCCAATTGCTCTATGTAAACCTGTTCGCTCTTGTGCCATTTGACATCTCATTGCTAAGTATTTGTCTCATTCCTATTTGTCTCCTAGTTATTTCTCTTTCGCTTTTGCTCTTTCTTTTGTCCATGTTCCCATTGGGTACTTAGAAGATCTAACTGATCATAAATGGAGAGAAGCAATGAATGAGGAAATGAGGGCTTTAGTGAAAGTTAAGACTTGGGAATTAGTGGATCTACGCGAGGGAAAGAGGAAGGCGGGGTGTAAGTGGGTGTTCACGGTAAAACACAAGGCAGATGGCATAATAGAAAGGTATAAGGCGACGCTAGTGGCAAAAGGGTTTACACAGAAGGAGACATTAGCATTGGTGGAAAAACTCAACTCTATTCGAGTTTTGCTATGCTTAGCAATAGATTTCTTATGGGAGTTGCACTAATTAGATGCAAAGAGTCCTTTTCTAAATGGAAATTTACATGAGGAAGTATATAAGAACCCTCCGGGCTATGATTTCCAAGGGAAGGCATGTAAACTAAAGAAAACCTTGTATGGATTGAAGCAATCACCTTAAGCCTAGTTTGAAAGGCTATGTGGGGTTATGAAGAGTGTGGACTATACTCAGAGTGGGGTTGACCAAGAGGATCATATGGTCATTACAGGGAATAGCCAAGAGGAGATAAGAAGATTAAAGTTTCTAGCTTCAGCGTTTGAGATCAAAGATCTAGGTAACCTAAGATACTTCCTTGGCATTGAAGTTACAAGATCAAAAGATATACAAAGGAATTATATACTAGATCTATTTGAAGAAATGGACATGATGGGAAGCTAACCAGCCAATACTCCTATGAAACAAAACCATGGACTATAGGATTCCATTGGTAAGGATTATATAGACAAGGAAAGATATAAAAGATTGGTGGGAAAATTGATCTACTTGTTTCTTACCTGGCCAGATATAGCTTATGCAGTTCATGTGGTGAGTCAGTTTATGCATGCTCCCAAGGTTCCTCACATGAGAGCAGTTGCAAGAATGCTTTGATACCTAATGATTTTTCTAGGAAAAGGATTCTTGTTCAAGAAACATGATAGACTTGAGATAGAGGCCTATACTGATGCAAACTGGGCAGGTTCCATTGGAGACAAAAAGTCTAAATTGGGTTACTATACTTGCGGGGAACTTGGTCACTTGGAGAAGTAATAAACACAATGTTGTTGCTAGATCAAGTACAAAGGCTGGATATAGACCTATAGAACATGGTGTAGCTGAACTACTGTGACTTCAGACTCTTCTTGGTAAGTTAGGAATGAAGGTAGAGTGTCCCCTCAAGTTGTATTGTGACAACAAGGCTGCAATTAACATTACAAACAATCCTATTCAGCATGACAAGACCAAGCATATTGAGGTTGATAGACATTTTGTGAGAAAGGACAATATCTAGTGAACTTTGTATTCCCTATACATCTTAAAAAATGCAGTTTACTGATGCAATAACCAAAAGGCTTATTTCAACAAAGTTCCATGGACTTCTTGGCAAGCTGGGCATGATGGACATCTATGCTCAGCTTGAGGGGGAGTGTTGTAATGGGTGATTGTGTTGGCCAACTCTTATGTTTGTGTTGTTTATTTTATTGTTATGTTGGACCTGAAGTTATTGGGCCAGATTGTCCTTTCATGTACTCTTTGCTGTTTCCTATTCTATGCTGTTTCCTCTCCTCTTTGCTCTTCTACTCTTGCAGGTCAGCATACATTCCTCATTTGGGATCCCTATCCTTGTACTTAGTATCCTCCAGTGAGAATTTGGATTATAAGGGTCACTGAACTGCTTCAGACGGAGATCAAGAGTTGGTCCATGGTATCTTTGTGCAAAAAGACGACCTGATTTCTTCTTCAACCTTGAAGACACTAATGTGGTGATTATATTGTCATCTGCATTCTTCTTTTCAAACTAAATATTTCTAAAAAAAAATTTCCCCCTTTTCACCTTGTATTTGCTTCTCTAATTGCAAATTTCTGTGACTTTTTTCAACTTGAAGTTGAGACTTGCTTATAAACTTTTTCGGGATCTCTAATGGTTGTAAGGAAAATACTACTACCCTTTCCTTATACTTTGTATCTTTTGTGGAGAATTTAGATAATAAGGGTCAGTGAACTGCTTCAGAAAGAGATGAGAGTTGCTCCATGGTGTCTTCAAGCAAAAAGATGATCTGATCTCTTCATCCTTGGAAGACACTGATGTGGTGATTATATTGTCATCTGCATATTTCTTCTCAAAATAACTGATAACAAAGTTTTCCCCTTTTCACATTTTATTTGCTTCTTTAATTGCAAGTTTCTCATGTCTTATTTTCAACTTGAGTTGGCAATATTACTTATAAACTTTCTGGGATCTTCCAATAGCTGAAAGGGAACTACCCTTTGTATCCTTTTCAATCTGTAATGGTAGTATTTTACTTAAATCTTTCGGCATATTTCATGAGCTTCCCTTTTGTTTCATCTAAAACTGCAAGTATGTCTTTCTCGGTGATATCTCATTAAGTCTCAACCACCTCCCCCTCACAAAGAAGGAAAAAATGGGAAAATAGAAAATCTGCTATATTCCTTTATTTTTATGGGCAGGAGGTTACAAATAATGATCGATGAAGTAGACGGTATTGTTAGAATGATATGTTAGAAGGCTTGAGTGTGTTCGGCTGATAAGAATTCCTATTAGCCCATTCTTATGTTAAACTTATCTTGTAACTGGGCCTTTGCTAATGGGCCTAATCTTGTTTATGTCTTAAGTCTTCTGGGTGTCCCATCACTAATCAGTGGTATCCCAGTAAATTCTTGTACTTTGTACTTCACTTATATATAAATAAAGGCATGGTCGACTGYAAGTACAGTTCGACATTTTCAGCATCTCTTCTTCTTCTCCTCTTTTTTTCTACTTCGACTATAGTGGTTCAGCTTTCATGGTATCAGAGCATTGAGCACCTTCTTGGTTATTGCCGACGCCATCTCCTCTTTCTTGCTGTATTTCACTTTTTTTTATCTGGGTTGCTGTTGTGAAACCCTAGGGCTGCAGGAGAACAACACAAGGTTCGACCTAGGATTTCCCTTGGTTGTAGGGCGCAAGGGAGGTAAGACCCTGAAGTTGGAGTCCTACTAGTTTCTAGTAGTTAGCAGTTATTTGGCTGCTAAGAAGAGGACATACCTAGTTGAGGACTGATTTCATTCGTCCTAGTGTTGTCTGTAAGGAGGGGAACTCCCTTTACAGTTGCAGTACTCGAAGTTCATGTGGAGTCTGCATAGCACAGGTCGATAATTAAGTCACTAAAAACAATTGTTAATGTTTATATCTATTTTTATTTGTCAAAAATGATTAGGAGTTTAATTGATTTTCTAAGGCTTTATTCAATTGTCTAAGATTGAAAATATTGCAACTTATCAGTGTGTATTGTGTGATACCGTTATTTCAAATGGATGATCTGTAAAACACTGGAAAATGGGGTCTCAAACTTTTCTTAGACTTACGGTGTATGTGAATATTCTTCGCCACTCCCCCAACGGCGGTGGGTCTCAAAACTTTTTCGTCGATACTTCGGTGTACCGTCTACGTATTGCAAGCAAGGTTCAAACAATCGATTCTTTTTGAATGGGAAAAAAAACACGTATCTGGAGTTTTATCCAAGTGAATATTATTGTGGCTGGAATGAATCCTAACCGTGGATTGATGCCAAATCCACGGGCAGGATACAGTTTGGGGGGGCTACTAATAAGTGATGCCACTTATTAGTAGCCAATCATAATTGCCGTAAGTGATGAAACATCACCCGTCAACATTTACTATGGTTGAAATCAACCAATTCTTGATATTTAGATGGGTTCAAAGACCGATGCTATACATTGAACCTTGATTACAAGTATCGACTACCATTCGTACTACAGTATATGCTACAGCGGCAAAACAAAAATGATATACTACTTAAAGAAGGCTTCAAATCTGAAACTTGGTGGGAAATTTCTACATGACAAAAAATATTTGGGTATGAAAGATGGGCCAATAAAATGATCAGAATGCATGGATCTCATATTTGATTGAAAATATACTCCTTGTTTTTACCAGTACAAAAAAAGAAAAAAATAATAACTAATTTTGTGAGATCTTATGATATGGAATCTCTGGATGATCTATTATATCCATAGATCCAGAGTTTTTGTTTATGCTTAGATCCATAGATCAACTGAGGAGAAAGGGAATGAGAGGAAATTAGGGTTTTAGAGACTCAGGGGGGAATGCTAGGGAGGATGGGCAAGAGATGTATTAAAAGTCCAAAAGATCATGTTGCAGCCAGTAACTGAGTTTTTGTTTATGCTCTGCGGTGGGTAACTATGGTCAACCAATGACTCTCTCTACTTGCAATGCCTCTATAGTGATAAATGATCCTATCCTCTTACATTATCCCCTTTTTCAATCACTAGTGTACCAATTATTGAGAAAAAAATGGGTTTGTCACTCTTGCCATGGCTATGAGATACTAGCCCCAAAATTTTCAAACAATTGTTTAAACAAAATTAGCCTTAAAATTCTAAGGAACTTTCAAATAAAATTATTTCCCGAGGGGAGTTTTCTGAGGGTAGAGGTCAAAGTGGTTTGTGGAGTGTTTTTTCCAAGGAAAAGTGAGATAGCCTCCAGAGAGGATTCTGGAAGGGATAGTGAAATTGGTCCTCCAAGGAGCATCCCACAAAGACAGTTGTCGAGGAAGAGTTAGCATTGTTCATTGAGGCTATGTTTGGTTTGAAGGAAAAGGTAGGGAAAGGAAAGGAAAGATAGGGAAACCTTTACAAACCTTGTATGAATTTCCCTACCTTTTCCTTCAAACCAAGCATAGCCCGAAGGGTAGCCTTTAGGGATGTATGAGAAGTTTATAGCAGAAATTTGAAATGATGTGATATAGTGGGTATGTGAACCGTCAATCAAGACTTAATGGGCAAGCAAATGCCTTTCTGACATGTGTATCACATTATTTGATTCTTTGACCTTTATCTTTATCTATAGGGTAAAATATAAAAACCTCCCTTGAGGTTTCTGACAATCATTTTAACAAAAGCCTCTCCTGAAGTTTCATTTTAACAAAAACCTCCCCTGTAGTTTTGAAAAATCCTGTAGTTACCTCTCTTCCATCATTGCCTCAGTCCATTATCAAGAAAAAACAACATTATTGTCTCCATAATAGACTTTGAAGTTACAAATTTCCCTTACTACTTATTAGGAAATCTTTCAATATAATCAAAATGCTAGATTTGCCCTTTTAGACTTCATTCAACCATAATGAGTTTACAAAATTAAATTACTTTACTCTTTAATTTGACCTAGGGTATTTTTCAAATAAAAATTAAGTTTTTAGAGTATTTTAGTAAATCTCCATCTAAATTGATAAACATAAGGGTAAAATGGGTATTTTCAAAAAATTAATGCTTAAGGCCAACATTTTCTAGTTGGGACAATGATAGAAGGGAGGTAATTGCAGAATTTTTCAAAAAGGGCCTAGGTGGCAGAGGAGATCCATGTCCCCCCCTATGACTTCAAAATTCCCTCAAAATCCATTTAAATTCCACTTATATTTTGACCCCCCCTTATCCATATTTCTTAGCTTTTGGCCCCCCTATCCATGTTTTCTAGGTTTTGGCTCCCCTTAACAAAAAATTCTAGCTCTACCCTTGTATATATAGTCTCCTTTTTTATTCTTATATGCTTTTGAGTTTAATCACAAGACTACTTAAGAATGGTCCTTTGGATTTTTTCATAGTAGAAGATGTAGTAACTTATGAACCTTACAAAGCAAGATAACAAAATGGTCTTTCACTGATAAAGTTAAAGAATTACAGACACACTTAACTTGATACATACATCTACGGTTCTTTGAATGTTAGGACATAATGTACATAGTTACTTTATAACACTAGTAATTAAGCACATGCGTTGCACGTGAGAACTTTTTCTTCATATTAATTATTTGAATTTGAGATATATCATAGTTAAGATAGAAATTGAAAATTAAAAAAGTAACAATATAATTAAAAATAAACTTAAATATTTATTATTCAATTATGACATCATGCATTTTTTTTTTTGAAAAGTTGGATTATTGACCCACCATCTAGATAAAAATAGCGTTGCCTTTGGATTAGTTTTAACTTAGGGAAAATTATTGTCAGAGACGGTTGTACATTTAAAGTTTGGTTACAAGTTGGTCCATAAACCTACAAAATTCAAACAAACGGCTTTACATTTCAATTTATAAAAACCTCCACCATGTCACCGGAGAGTAATGTGGCTATTGCCAACATGGAACTCTTAATCCATATTGGACACAATAAAAAGCTTATATTGAAATTGCCCTTTAATGTTGGGTGATTGGAAAATAAAAAAAGGGTTTTTAGTTTCTCTCTCTCTCTCTCTCTCTCTCAATCTCCCTCACACTCTYTCACTCATAGTCATCTTTATCTACTCAACGACTATGTGATTTGAAAATAAATAAAAATGGTTTTTGGTTTCTGTATTTACGTTATCTATATCAATTTATCTCATTCTCTTTCTCTACCTATCGTTCTCCCTTAATCTCTTTCATTCTCTTTCTCGGTCGATTTCTCCTTCTCCCTTAATTTTTATCGTTCTCCCTCAGTTTATCTCCCTCTCCCTCTCTCATTTTTTTTTTATTTTCTTATTTTCTTACACACTTATATGGTATTAATCAGATCGTATAAAAAAAAAAACACGAGACCAACTTGGTATGGTTCAAAATTTATTACACCATTTTGATAAAATTCACAAGAAACTCTTGGCTATGAAATTTACACTAATTGGAGAGCGATAGAGATTGAGGGAGAAGGAGATTTTGATCGAGAGAGAGAGAGAGAGGGAGAGAGAGAGAGAGAGAGAGGGAGAAGAAGGAGAAGAAAAAGAAGAAGAAGAAGAAGAAGAAGAAGAAGAAGAAGAAGAAGAAGAAGAAGGAGAAAAGGTCATAGTTGAACTAGAGAGAAAAATTCAAATCCCTCTAGTTGGCCCTTCTTTTATTTATACTCTTCTAAGATATACACGAATTACCATTGTTCCCTTACTTAAGTGAGAGTCACATTAGCTGAACAATACATATATAACTAAACATAAAAGGACTATACTATCCTTGTACAACCGACTCTAACACTCCCCCTCAAGCTGGTGAGTATATGTCATATAGTCCCAACTTGCTACATATATAGTCCACTCTTCCCCGATTCAACCCTTTGGTAAACACATCTGCCCATTGATTTCCTGTGTTCACATATGTTGTACTTATCACTCCACTAAGCAGCTTCTCATGTACAAAGTGGCAATCCACTTCTATATGCTTAGTCCTTTCATGAAACATTGGATTAGAGTATAGCTTCATAGGAGTGTCAATCGAGTATCCCATCTCCTCTAGGAGATGCTTCAACCACACTAGCTCGCATGTTGTGTGTGTCATAGCCCTATATTCAGCCTCTGCACTGCTTCTTGCTACCACTGTCTACTTCTTACTCTTCCACGTCACTAAGTTCCCACCAAGAAAAGTGCAATACCTTGTAGTGGACCTTCTGTTAGATATAGACCCGACTCAATCAGCATCCCTGTATCCCTCTATCTCAAGACTTCCTCCACTCTTATATAATAAACCACGACTTGGGGCACCCTTTAAATACCTCACAATCTTTAGGACTACCTCCCAGTGTGGGATTCAAGGGTTCGACATAAACTGATTTACTACACTGATTGCAAATGAGATATCAGGTCGAGTGTTTGTTAGGTAATTAAGCTTACCCACCAACCTTCTATACCTTCCTGGATCCTTGAACTCCTCACCTGTATCACTACCCAATTTAGCATTCAGTCCCATAAGTGTTTCAGCTGGTCTGGCACCCAACAACCCTGTTTCTTCTAGCAGATCAAGAACATATTTCCTCTGGCACAGATTAATACCATTCTTGGACCTCGCAACCTCTAACCCTAGGGAGTATCTTAATTTGCCAAAATCCTTTGTCTGTAAGTGATCTTGCAAGTAAGTCTTCAACCTGTCAATCCCTGGTCTATCACTGCCTGTGATAACAATGTCATCTACATATACCACCAAGAGAATCTTCCCAATATTTGATTCATAGCTGAATACAGAATGATCAACCTAACACTGTTTCATTCCAAACCTTCACTACTTCACTAAATCTCCCAAACCATGCACGAAGAGATTGTTTAAGTCCATAATAGCCTTCTTAAGTCTACATACCTTCTCACCCTCTCCCTGAGCAACAAACCTTGGTGGTTGCTCCATGTACACCTCCTCGAGAAGATCACCATGTAAAAAATCATTCTTGATGTCAAGTTGAAACAAGGGCCAATCAAACATAGCAGCATGAGAAATCAGAAAACAAACTGACCCAATTTTGGCAACCGGAGAGAAGGTGTCTGTGTAATCAATACCATACTACTATGAATAACCTTTGGCAACTAACCAAGCTTTCAACTGTTCAACACTCTCATCAGGTAAGTATTTAACCGTGTACACCCACTTACAGCCGACAACATGCTTACCAAGCGGAAGAGTGGTGAGGTCCCATGTATGAGTACGAGTCAGGCCCAAGAGTTCTTCTTCCATTGCTTGGTGCCACCCTAGAGAAGTGAGGGCTTCCTGGACATCTTTGGAAATAGAGATAAAGGATAACATAGAAACAAACTGTTGATGGGAAGTTGAAAGGTGAGATACAGAAACATAATTGGAAATGGGGTGGCGAGTGCAACTATGTTTACCTTTCCAAAAAACAATAGGAAGATCAAGGTCAGAACTTGGGGTTGGGGCTGGGGTGGGAACAACTGTTAGATCTGTCGACGGTGATGAAGCCGAGGGAGGAGCTGGTGCTTGACGATGTGTATACACTTGTAGGTGGTCCTCTCTCAGGTAGCTGCACTGGAGGCAAAGATTGGGTCACAACTGGAATAAGAGGAACAGGATCCTCAACAAGAACTAGAAGAGGGGGTGATGGCAATGAAGGAGAAGAAGTATCCGACCCGGAAAAGAAAGGAACAGACTCAAAAAATGTAACATCAAAACACACAAAGAACGCCGAGAACGAGGATTATAACACATATACCCTTTTTGAGTCATGGAATAGCCAAGAAAGTCACACTTGGATCTAGCATCTAACTTGTCCATTCCATGCCCAAGATTATGAACGAAACACACATATCCAAAAACTCTGGGAGTAAGGGGAAAATGAGACAACGTGGGAAACAGAACAAAGAAAGGAGACTGACCTTCAAGGATAGACATGGGCATGCAGTTAATAAGAAAGCAGGATGTAAGTATAGCATCACCCCAAAAGGGTTTAGAGACATTCATCTAATGTAAGAGGGACAGAGTAGTTTCCAAAAGGTAACGATTTTTTCTTTCAGCCACCACCATCAAGATAATACAGTCCACTAGCTTCATGCCCTCCACCAATCTTGCTCCGCATCTTGAGATTTTAAAACACACAAGAGGAAGGGTAAAAAGTTATTGAGCAAATAAGAGACTTAATCAATTTACTAACAAACATCAGGTTAAAGGGAAACTTGGGAACATATAAAACTAAGGAGAGGGATAATGAGTTTGTGTCAACATTACCAACACCACGTATGGCTGATGTAGAGCCATTGGCAAGAGTAACAGATTGGGAAGTGGAGGACATAGAAATGGATGAAAACACACCTGGGTTCTAATCATATGATCGAAAGATCTAGAATATATAATCCATCGGGAAGGTGTGGATGCCAGACAAGTCATACCTGTGCATGCAAGTGTAGTCGTGTTCTGTTGAGATGTACCCTGAATAAACCGCTCATACTCATCCCATAAAACACTCACCATCTCCTTTCTGGAAGCATCTGTAGATGTAGTGGGGATCTGATCAGTAACTTGAGATTCTTGTCTTGAGCTACCACCATTTATAGATGCATGATTTGCCCAGGTTGAAGGTGGGCCATGTAGATCATAACAGAAGTTGATAGTATGTCCCTCCATACCACAATGAGTACACCTTCTTTGAATATTACCACGTACCCTACCACGGGCTCCCCTGAGTCTCATCTTCCAACACAACCACCACCACGACCATACATGGGTCCACCACCACTACCACGACCATGCTGACCTCCTCTACAACCATGACCTCTCCCTCTCGTAACTGCAAATGCAGACCTATTTGACATAGTAGAAGTCTTTGTAGGTCCAACTGAAATCCTCCAAAGACGAGCAAATACTTCCTCAAGAGAGGGAAGAGCAGATCCGCCTAGTATATGTGCCCTTACGGGTTCATACTCAAACTTTAGCCCTACTAAAAATCTGGTCACATCCAACTGCTCTCTCTGTTGTTGCTGAATTTTGACATCATGTGTAAGAGGACGATAAACATTCAACTCATTTCGTAAATTTTTCATACTGGCATAATAGTCCTCAAGACTCAGATTTCCTTGTTGCATATTGAAGTCCTCTTGGTACAATTGGTAAACCCTAGTAGTGTTATCTTGTCTAGAATATAGTTTCCTTGCATGATCCCGGACTTCCTTGGTTGTATCTAAAAACATGAAGTTTACACTAATTTTGGACTCCATGTTGTTCTATAGCCAAATCATAATTTGAGCATCCTTTTTTTCCCATTTATCATATCCCTGAAAATCAATTGGGGGTTTATCTTCCCTCACATGTTTCACTTTCTTTTTGGCTTTTAGGAAAACTTCAATAGACTTAGCCCAAGGGACATAATTCTCACCATTCAACTGTCTCCCATGACTGCACAAGAAAACAATGGGAAGCTATACCACTAAATTGTTACTCTACTGCCCTAATAAATCACCACACTCCACACGAATGACTGAACACCAGGGTTCCTAGTACCAGGTTTCAGCAACAACACTCACAACTATTCACCACTATTTCAGCAATAATATTCACAACTGTTCACCACTTTTAGCAACAACACTATTGTTGCCGTCTATTGTCAGCTCTAGAAACCGTCACAACACACCTCACAAATAGGATATTCAGTTCTGCAACATATAAAAAAAACTTGCTACATACCAAAACTTAGTTCGAAGATCATGTACCTGTCGAGTAGAAGGTACCAAGTCTACACTGTCACTATCACAAAACCAGCCCTCTTCGAGTTGCCGAGTAGAGGGTTTTCTACCAACCACACAAAGCCACAACGACTGCACTCATTGGAGGCATGGAAACCCCTAGAAGGAGAAAACGACCAGTCCTTTTCTTTCTTTATGGAAAACTCTCTAGGTATCAATGAGAATTCTGCAAAACCTTAAAAATGAGACGACTGATCTGAACCGATTATCATGGCTCTAGTACCATGATAAAACTCAGACTAGATGTTCATATAAGTTCAAATCAGAAGAAAGAGGAGAAGAACAGAGAGAAGAAGGAGAAAAGGTTACAGCCGAACTAGAGAGAAAAATTCAAATCCCTCTAGTCGGCCTTTCTTTTATTTATACTCTTCTAAGATATACAAGAATTACCATTGTGCCCTCACTTAAGTCAGCCACATCAGTTGAACAATACATATATAACTAAACATAAAAGGACTATACTACCCTTGTGCAGTCGACTCTAAAAAGAAAGATTGAGGGAGAACAATAGAGAGAGAGAGGTTTTGATTTGGCTACCCCGCTCCCTCTATCTCTCCCACTCTACTGAAGCAGAGGGAGTGGGAGATATAAAGGGAGCGGGAGATCGAGAGATGATTGTGAGAGTGAGAAAGAAGGGAGGGAGATCAAGAGACACAAGGAGTGGGAGAGAAACTGAAAACCTATTTTCGATATAGGTTTTCTACTATGTCAAACATGAAATAAGAGTCCCATGTTGGCAACAAGTCTATAGTATCATTTTACTCAAACCACTAACCCACCATCTAAAAATAAAAGTTGTTTGATTTCTAGTTTGACATTAAATTTTGTATTACATTTCCATCATTGATAAAATTATTTTTGTATAAAACTTAGTTTTGTTCAATATAATGAATGTATAATATTAGAGAAGTACCCAATATTTTATTTTTTATAAACATATAACATTAAATATGTGCCCAAAATTTTCTCTTATCTTTTTTTTTTATTTTTATGATTCTTTGTATTTTCTATTATTAAAAATTTTATTATTTGACTATGACATCATTTAATTTCTAGGTAGATTTTGAAATTAGCTTTCTATTTGTATCATTAATAAAAATACTTCTTACATTTCATAGTTATTTATTTTAATTTTTTATTATTTAATTATGACATTATTTATTTATCCATTTAACCC